TATATATATATATATATATATAGAACTTCTTCAAACAAAAAAATTATGATGTACTGATGGTTTTACAGTTTAATATTATTCATATCATTAGCATAATCGATGTAATATCTCTTGACCACGACGTATCTATACATAAGATTGAAAACCCATATTATATGTACGTATTCGGCGGTCATGGTTTAAAGGAGAGAAGCAAAATAAAAACCTGGTTGATTTTATCCCCTTTGAGAAAAAAAAAAAAGAGAGAGAGAGAGAGAGACAAAGTCAGCAAGTCGACAAGAATTTGAAAAAAAAAATTAATACTTGTTCGAAAATTATATTTGATATATGTATCCATATATATATATATATATATATATATCAATTAAGTGAAATATTTTAGAAGATCTCATAATTAAAAGTTTTATACGAATACGAAATTCCATGTTAAAATAGACGTAAATACTCGGATCTAAATATGATAGAAAAAATACGATAATATTTTAAAATAATTCCATATATATATATATATATATGTCTAGAAACCGAAAAGGATGCAACAAATCATAACTCTAAAAGTCAACGAGTCCCGTACTTTCTTGTCGATGGTTGACTTGTCAGTGATGTTGTAAAATGCCAAAACCCTCTTAATTGAAAAGGATCTCATTTTCATTATGGTTTTTGTCCCTTTTTCCAATAATATATTTTGACCAATGAATATAATCATTATTTAATTTCTGTCAATTTCAATTGGACCTCGATATTTATTTTCTCTTCGGTTTGTCGGCATTTGGAGAGGTTTGCAATTTTGCATGTTATCAGCATTTTTTCTTTTCCAAATTAACATTCTAGATATGTGTCTTTCCCTCTCATAAATATATATATATATATATATATATATATATATATATAAAGCATCCGCATTTCTTCTATTGTCACATTTTAATAGTTTAATTTTGAAACATTTATTTTTTAATACCTATATTTTACATGTTAATATCTAAATTTTGTAAAATACTCAAAATATCCGACATCGTGACAGTTTCAAAATTGGAACGATCCATTGAAACACAATATTATTCTCTAACTATCTTTAAAATTTGGATATTAAAATGGAAAACTTCAAAATTCAAGTATTTAAACAAAAAAAATGAAAAATGAAGGCATTAAAAATTCGGCAATACATAAAATTCGCGTATCATTTTGCATTCGCCCATAAAACTATCAATCAAACGAAAATTTTCTTTTATTATTACAAAAAAGTATGCGGCTTATATAGTTACACTTAGAGATATAAATTGGGTTGGTCCAACTCATTTTGGATTTTAAGGATAAACGGGTTGGATTGGATTGACCCGTTAATAACAATTAGTTGGGTTGGTTCGATCCATTATATAAACCCATGTAAACTATTTAAATCCATTAATATATTCGCATACTACTTATACATATGTATACATATTAATATGTATACTCATATAACCTAGAGATTGATATTTTAATATTCGATTCGTTTTATTCAATTCAATAAAAATATATACAAAATCGGATACTATATTATATTCAGTAGTTTATGAAAAAAATTGTACATTTTCTTAAAAAATCAATTTTTTTTTTTACTTTTTTAAAATTCGATTCGATTCGATGTTTTAGAAATATTGTCGTTTAGATTTTTTGAACGATTCGATTCGAAAACGATAACGAGTTTTTCAATACGATTCGATTCGAAAAATAGTGCCAAGTTTTTCGGTATAATCCGATTTGGAACGATATCGAATTTTTTTATACAATTCGAATTTTTCGACACGATTCGATTCAGAAATGACATCTAGTTTTTCGGTATAACTTATACTACTAAAGCCTATATGTATATAATATCATTTGATCACAATACAATAAATAGGCCCCTTGGGAAATATAAATGGGCATAATCCTTGTCACTCTTTCTATCAAAAGATAGCATCCGTCCGTCCGACTAACCGTTACATAAATATTTTAATTATTTTATCGCCAATCAGTCATCACCATTTCTAGGCAACACAATTATTTGTGCCCCAATTTCGTTTCTATGTAATTGCTGTATAAATAAATCAAATAAGATACGAAATATTACAAGTATGGAAAGCAAAGATGCAGAATCTTTTCTGGTTCGTGGATTTGACAGATTCTCTTATAGATATTATCGTGGGAGCCGTTAGAATTACAAAGTGTGGAAACATAAACTCAAACGGTCTCCATCTAAAAATTTCAGATCTCATATATATATATATATATATATATATATATAGTTCATATGATATAAATATTTCTCTACACATGTATATCCATAATTAATATATTATAAACTATTCAATATTTGTCAAAGCCATGCCCCACCAATTTCGTTTTTTTTCACGCAGCAAAACATTATATTTTTCCATAAATATTACAAAAATCAAATCAAATCATATAAATGTCATCATAAATAAAAAAAAAACTTATAAAGATCACAACATCCCCCTACTGGCTTCACGATCACTACCACACACGAATGAAGATCTTCACTAAATATGAATTTAGGAAACAAAAGCAAGACTTTCCAGTTTCTCATAGATTCCCCCTTTTAATTAATCACACAATTAATCCCGCAAAATCAAAATATTAAGCACTTAATTTTTTTTTAAAAAAAAAGAATATTAAAAAAATCCTTCCTTGTTCCTCATCTCCATATATAGTCCTCGACGAGATTTTTTTATATACATAAATACAATGAGGGCAGCAAAGACAAGAGTCTCCAAAACGGTGACGTTTTGGTTCGCTATTGCCGTGGCTCTTTGTTCATGTATCGTCGCGTCAGAAGCGAAGTATCGGACGGACAAGAACCGGTTCGGCGTTTATCGTCAGCAAGTGATCGTAGATCCTTCGGGACATGGAAACTTCACGACAATACAGGAAGCAGTCGATTCTGTCCGTCAGAATAATAAACATTGGTTCTTCATCAACGTCAGACCGGGAATCTACAGGTAATTTAATTAAAAAAAATATATATATAAATTAACCAAATCTGTGTGGCCTAATGGTAAAAAAAAATATGAAAAAAGGTATTCTTATATATCTGGATTCAAATCTAAGCGTGGTGAAAGATATCCACTGATACTTCCTCGATCCTTTGAGAATGTAATTGGATCAAATGTGTAGTGATTATAAAACAAAAACATAAAAACCTCGAACAAGACTTTGGTTTCATTATTCGTTGCTTATTGGGTCCAATTGTAATAATTATTTGTTGTCCAATGAAAAACAAAAACATGCAACATCTTTAGTAACGCTCGTTCGTTTTTTTCTTGTGCCTCGTGAATTCCGTGAAAACGGAGTGACTCTTAGGGTTTGATTGTATACGTTTCTTGTTTCATTGGAAATCGTGGGTATGTGCGGAATTTTCTCTCCGTTTCTTATATTTTCCGGGAAAATATTATAAGAGAGAAAATCAAGATCCCGTACGAGAAACCCTACATAGTTCTAAAGGGCGCCGGGAAAAGAAGGACGAGGGTCGAATGGGACGATCACTTCTCAATCGCTCAGAGCCCTACTTTCGTCTCTCTCGCCGACAACACCGTCGTCAAAGGCATGACTTTCGCTGTAAGAATGTCCGAAAAAAAATCTCGAATCTTTACGTATTTTTTGATTCTCTCTAATCGTTTTCCTTCATGGTTTTTTTTTTCATTCAAGAACTCGTATAACCGACCGAGAAAAGGCAAGAACAAGAACCCTAGGGTTCCGGCCGTAGCCGCCATGATCGGTGGTGACAAGTCTGCGTTTTACTCTGTCGGATTCGACGGCCTTCAGGACACGTTGTGGGACTCGGAAGGTCGACATTACTTCCACCGTTGCACCATCCAAGGCGCCGTCGATTTCATCTTCGGCACCGGTCAATCTTATTACGAGGTCCCATGCGAATTACTATACACATACTCCAATTCTTATTACAAAGAAAGATAGTTCAAATGATCATAATATATATATACATGAATTCATATTAGAAGATTTGGGGATTTGGAATATATTATGGAGAATCATGGAGAGATTATAAGATATATTTAGGATATTTACGTTGATTATGTTAGATATTTAAGTACGTTACTTTGGTTATTGAATAATATAATACTTATTTCCGTAAATCTTAAGAATTCATGAGGTTTTTTTTTTGGTTATAGGATTGCGTGGTTCACGTGTTGGGAGGAGAGATAGAACCAGGAGTGGCGGGCTACATAACGGCTCAAGGACGGACGGACCCTAAGGACGCGAACGGGTTCGTGTTCAACAACTGTCTCGTCTATGGAACCGGCATGGCCTTTCTGGGCCGACCATGGCGTGGCTACTCTCGAGTCATCTTCTATCAGTCCAACCTTACTGACGTTGTCGTCCCCGAGGGTTGGGACGCTTGGAATTTCGTCGGTCACGAGTAAGTCCGATTTCTCCATATTATTTCCATTTCGATTTTTGGTTGGTTTAGGAAGTTTTGAACTTATTATATTACTAGGATGGCCATTTTGGTTATTAACCAAATAGTCGAAAAGATACGAACCGAATAAGTAAGTATTGTAAACAAATCGAATCCAATGTAAAAATTGTATGGAATCTGAGCATAACCAAATTGAATAAAAAATATCTGGAAAACCGAAAATTTTTTAAAAAATATATTTTTACCAATAAAAATCATATACAAACCGAATCAAATTGAAATAATATCGAACCAAACAAAATTTGATATTAAACTCGAATAGTTATAGTATTTATATAACCGAATCCGGATGCAACCCAAACCGAAATCCGAAATGACTACTACCACTACGGATTAGTAATCCGTTTAATTAGTTGGTGGGGAAAAAAGAAAACACGACACAACTGATTAGGGTTTCGGATTTCGCTTATGTGAAAAAGAAAACAAGACAGCTTTCTTACTTCTTAGGGTTTAGATTTTGGACCAGGGTTTAATGGGCTTTGGGTTATGGTCTGAATATATATTTAATCCGATATTATGAAAAAAAAAGCATGACAAGTAACTTCGGTTACAGAGAAACTTATTATTTTTATCATGTAATGAAAATATATATATCAAATGTTATATATAGCATCAATAACCATAAGTGTATATATATATATATTTTTTTAAAAAATTTTATTTCGTGAAAAAATGGCAGGAACCAACTAACGTACGGGGAGTACAACTGCTACGGAAGTGGATCGAAGACACCGAGGCGAGTGAAGTGGGAGAAGAAACTCAACGGAGACACCGTCCGAGGATTTGCCGATCTCAATAACTTCATCAATCACGACGGTTGGCTTGACGATTTGCCCATCCCCTCCTAATTAATCAATTAATTAATTAATCACTCCTCGGACCATATATATCATAATAAAAATATATAAAATGTAATTCACTATGGGGATTGGTTGATTTGTTATAAGTTGGCCATTTCATTTTGAGACATGTAAATTTGCGTGGAACTCTATAAACCCTCTTTTCTTCTTCTTCTTTTAGTTGTTAATGGTGAGATTATGCGAATATATAATTACATTCTAAAATAAAATAGTTCCACCATTACCTAAAACTATATATTAAGACATTTATTAATAGATATATGGATTACAGTATGAATATTCTATATCTAGAATCATCATCACATATGCAGTTTTTTTGTTTAATTTGGATTTCTCTAAAATCCTACATTCATAATTCTCCCAATTTAGATTCATGTTTTCGTAGTTTTTAGTATAACCGGATATAATATGAGTAATTTGTTTTTTTTTATCCATTTTTATTTTGTATAATTCGGGTCTCTGATTTAGATCAATAAAACAAAAACATCACTAAATTATCACTTTATTACATATCTCTTAATTATTATACAGCTAAAGATGAAATACTACCAGCTTCAAGATTTTATAACCTTTAATTATTTTTGGAATTTATTCATATTGAAATGGCATTAATTAGTTCATATTTTTTTAATCATTCTAGCAAAAAAAAATTTTTTTATTGATCCATGGTCAAACTCGTCCCGCCCCAGCACACCCTTTTGAGACAGACAATATATATTATTTTTAATAATTTTATATATTTATATTTAAAAACATATAAAAATAGAATTGAAAAACATTAGTAGAAAACAAAGCAAATAATGCAAGTACTAATCGGCGGGGTTGGTAGAGACCTCAATTATAAGATCCCATGATGTCATTTATTCCCACTTGTGATATCTTATTACAAAACTAAAAATGGATCATAGTTAAATTGCCATAAATAACAACCGCTAATGGTTTTGATATTTTCATATTTTCAATAATATGGGACATCTATGAATTGAAAAAAAAAATCCATTAAAATAAAATTCTGATAGTGGTATTCAAATGAGATTTTTTTAAAAAAAATATTGGAGTTATTTGTTTATTTTTATTGAAGATAATTTTTTTTGCTAAATACTAATTTTTTTATTACAATAATCGTGTAAAAAACCACATAATGGATAAATACTATGTATTTTCGGTCACTAAAATAGATGACATGATCTATTGTCTTATTACCACTATAGAATTCGGACTTATGATCATATATATATATATATATATATATATATAATCATTTAAATCCCGAACAAAATTTAAATTTATTGAAATAATTAGAACAAAAATTTAATAACAATTATCTTAGATTGTAACTACTATTTTTTTTATTTTCATATAGATTCAAACTATAAATGTCAAAATGAGCACACCTCACGAATTGGTTCGTTACCGACTCGTCACGATCCAAGTTGAACTACCAATTTTCACGTTCATTAAGGAACCAACTCGCTACATCTTATGAGTCATTGAACTATCTCGTTAGGTTTGCGAGATGATATTTTTTTAATATATATATATATATATATTTATTTTTATTTTTTTTTATATTTTATAGAATATTAATATTTATTTTATTTTTTTATTGATTATATATAAAATTTCTTTTATATAATTTAAGTTTAATATTTAAATATTAAATTTCAATATTAAAATATAATTTTATTTGATATTTTTATAATGTAAATAAAAATTATTATATTTATTTCTTATTTGCAATTCGATTCGTTTAACTCGAAAAATTAGTAAGTCGAATTGAGAAAAAAAATTTCTAACTATAGTTTAAAACGAGTCTAACGAATCGAGTTCAAAACGAACTCGCTCGTCACGAGCCGATCCGAACCGATATGGATCAAAATTTGACCTCCCTAATTCAAACGATTATTTGAGTATCTTATATATATATATATATATATATATATTGATGGTGCAGGAGAGTTGACGGTAATGTAAGGGCTCTATTGATAGGAATTGATTAGATACAACGTTCGATGGTTGTAGACTTGTAGGGTCCTATGGAGCCTGCCTTTGTCTCTCCTGCAATTGGACTGACCATTTCATAATTCGATAAATAAATAAAATAACAAAATTTGCAGTTTTATTTTATAAACATTGGAATTTGCATGAACTATATAACTTGCTGCTACGTGTATAGAATTTTCTTACTTCTCTTCTAACCACCACATGAGCTTCAAAATACGGTGTTACGTATCTGCGGAGTTTTATTAAAAAAATGATCTAATTGTAATTAATTAAATAGAATATGATATTAATTTATAAACTATTGATGCTTTTCGACACTAAAAGCCATGAAAACCAGGGCTGGGCACGGGTCGGGTACCCGCATTTTTGGAGATATCCGTCTTCGTTTTCGTCTTCGCGGGTTTCAGAGAAATGTTATCTCTGTCTCTATCTCATAATATCCGGGTACCCGTCCAACGGATATCCATAACTAAAAGACGGATACCCGCGAGTACCCGTACCCGTATAAAAATACTAAACAATATAAAATTAAACCAAATAATCAATATATATATATATATATATTATTCCAAAACTATATTTTTAAATTAAAAAATTCTTAAAATATAATAATATGCATAGAATCCTAGAAATATTTTAAAATATACACAATAATTTGAAGTTGAATCTATCAAAATTTGAAAATCTAATATATAATCCTAAAAGAAAGTAAAAATAACCTAAGTATTTTAGAAATTATATTAAAAATATAAGATTAATTTTGTAATTTTAATATATATGCGGGTACCCGTGTGTACCCGTTATTTCAATATATAAAACCCGAACTCGTATCCGTATGACGGGTATTCTAGTTTTTAATACTCGTTTTCGTCTTCGTTAGGTGTCGAATACCCATTTTTTCGGATACCCACGAGACCGAGTATCCACTTACCCGCGAGTAACGGGTTTAAATGCCCAACCCTAATGAAAACACATACGCAATCAGTCACATTATATTGTGATATATATATATATATATATATATATATATATATATATATATATATATATATATATTAAATATTTTATCATAGTTTTGTCAATAAGGGTTGGTGGTGGGTAGGGATGAATTGACAATTAATTATTTTTAATTGCAGTATTAGTATTTTATTATTTACAATTCGAAATATATGTGTGACATTAGCTTTTTATGTGTTTATTTTTTTATTACATTATTTATAATCTGGTTCGTGATTTATAAATAATCATACTACGAGTAATAATACGGATATAATTGGCAAATCAATTTTTAATTGAATACATCATTAAGCAAATATTAAAAAGAAGTCCACATGATGTTTAAGTTATCGTGTTATTACTTTAATTAAAGGTAACTAATTATTTTAATATTATTATTAATAATTTCTTTTTTAATTGCTATATGTTTCCCTCATGTCGGAACGTACGTCCAATCTATCCACCCGTCTATTCGCTTTCCCAAAACCCGACCCGACTCGGATCCGAGTACCCATCCGAGAAAATTTTCCCAGAAATCGTCACGTCACTCTCTTAAATCTTCCCCACATTTTCCTTTTCTTTCCCGGGGAAATCAAAGGAAAAGGAAAAGGGCCAATGTACTCGGCGATTCGTTCGCTTCCTCTCGATGTTAGTGTGGGTGGGCACAGCGAGTTCCATGGAGCTCTCGACGGGACGAATCTTCCCGGCGATGCTTGCTTGGTCTTGACGACGGACCCCAAGCCCCGTCTCCGGTGGACGGCGGAGCTCCACGAGCGGTTCGTCGACGCCGTCACTCAGCTCGGCGGACCCGACAGTGAGTGTATATATCTGTCGTACTGTTTTTGTGTGTATGCCTCGGTGTGTGTATGTGTTAAGAGTTTCTGGATCTCGGGAAGAAATGTGGGTTCAGTTTGTGAGGATTTCTTGTTTTTGGTTGATGGGTTCACGGTTTCTTAGCTAAAGTTTGCAGCTTTTTTCTAGGGTTTGCGGTGATTTCCGTCCTGGGTTTTGTTTGTTTGTGCTTTGGATTAGATGGGTCAAGTCAATCTCCGTTACCTCCGATGAGTTTGTTCTTAAAGTTCTGTCGTTTGGATGTTTACAAAATCTACTTGACACGACGAAGCTTAGGCTCACATGTAGTTTGATTGAACTTGATCCTGGTCATGTGCTACTCCTAGATTTGGATCTTTGGATCAATTTCTTGGGAGATTTCAAGTTTTGTTTCTTACTACCGAGTGATTTCTTTTCCAGAATCATTGCCTAGTTTTGAAAAAAGAAACTCCTAATGTCAGAATCCTGTCAGACGGCTTTTGTGGATTTTAGTTAGGGTAAAAAAAAGCAAAAACATAAGAGCGACAGAGAAAAGAACCATTAATCATAACATTTTGGAGTTCAAGAATGTGGAGAGAAGTGCAGTAAACAGTTTATGACAAACAATGTCCACAAATTTGAAAGGTTGGAGAACTGTGTTGGTTGGTTGTCTTGATATTGAATTCATGTTTTATGAGTCTTTACTACTTGCTTTCAGGACACTTAACCCAAGAATTTTGGAGTTACCTAATGATTGTGTTGAAACAAACCCGGTTCACCCCATACTGATTATTTACTAATCTTTCGTGTTTGATTTTCTTTCAACGAATTCGATATTGTAATTGGTTTTTTAGATCAGAACACTTCTTGTTGAATTTTAAGAATTCGTTTTAGTTTTATGTCTTTTTCTGGGATTTGGACTATGGTTGATTGAGACCCCTCTTACTCTTTTGTCTATTCATCTGACAGAAGCAACACCCAAAACTATTATGAGAACGATGGGGGTGAAGGGCCTCACTCTCTACCACCTGAAATCACATCTTCAGGTTTGTTGTGGCCAAGGCCAGAGTCTCTTTCTTTGTTTTCGCTTTCAGACAGAAGTCTTGGATATGGTGTCTTTTATGTAGCCATGTGTAGGAGCATTTGCTACAATATGACAACGTTATGGGATTTTCTCGTATCAATTAGGCAATATAGCTGTCCAGGTTCCCGGTGTATATTCGTAACTTGGGAGGCTTCCCATCTACTGTTCTTGATCTGGAATTTCCGGCAAGCCAATGTATTGATTGTTTGCTTTCACCCATTCTACTTTTCTTTTTTGCTTAACAGAAATACCGCCTCGGGAGGCAAGCATGCAAGGAATCAACCGAGAATTCTAAGGATGGTATCTATTCTAGTCTCTTCTTGTCAACCTTTTATATTTGCCCAGTTTCTTTGGTATCATGTCAATTCCTTCGTTTGCATCCCATTCATCTATTTTGCCACGGTTTCTTGTTGCTTCTCTTTGATGTTATTTGTGGCCATATAAAGAAACTGTCCAAGGCTATATTACTTGACATCTATTTGCGACGGTATCTTCAGCAATTGACGAGTGGTATATGGTTGGACTGGTTTTTTATGGATTTAGTTGAAGCTTATATCTCGTGAATTGCTACTAATTAGGTGAGTTACTCTAATTCCGTGGGTTGATGCTTCAGCTTCTTGTATCGCGGAGAGTCAGGACACGGGTTCGTCCTCAACATCATCATTGAGAATGGCTGTGCAGGAGCAGAACGAGTACGTTTACCATTATTTTTTCCCTGCCTTAGTTTTCAGCCTCTCTCGAATATCCGTTTTAAGATCAAATCTACCGTATTTTTTCCATGAGATAGGGGTTACCAGGTCACTGAAGCTTTGCGGGCACAGATGGAAGTACAGAGAAGACTACATGAGCAACTAGAGGTTGGTTTTCTTCGTCTTTTGGCGCATTATCTTCGTGTGAATATGAGGCATATGATTTGAGATTCAGTAACATCAATGGCTCATCCTATGTAGGGCATGTTTTTAGATGAATGAAGGTAAAAACAATCTGCAGTCCAGGATAACATCATAAATATTATGACAACAACATGATTGCTGAGCTAAGCAACCTTGAAAAGAGCAGAGATACAGATGTGATTCCAGATAGTAATGGCTACTTACCATCAAAAACCAAGCCAAACCCAGTTTAGGATATGTAACTGTTCATCTTCTATCGATATCATACCGAGCAAATGCACAACTTAAGACCCTTTAACATACACACGATTCAAAAGAGAACCAACAACTGTATCCGTGAAATGAAGGCACGGATGGTATTGGTAGCTTTCTGAAACGAATTTAACACCGGCTTTCTTAGCATGAGCAGGTGCAAAGGTGTCTCCAGCTGAGGATAGAGGCGCAAGGAAAATACCTACAGACGATTCTGGAGAAGGCTTGCAAGGCGCTGGATGAGCAAGCGGCCGCCTTTGCCGGTCTAGAGGCTGCAAGAGAAGGGCTTTCAGAGCTAGCCATCAAGGTCTCAAATGGATGTCAAGGAGAAACAACAACAGTCTCTTTCGACACAACCAAGATGATGATGATGATGATGCCATCCTTGTCTGAACTCGCAGTAGCCATAGACCACAAGCCCAACAACAACAACAACAACTGTTCAGTTGAGAGCTCTCTGACTTCCACAAATGCTGGAAGCCCGGTTTCGGCCGCTGTCTTGGCCAAGAAGAGACATAGGGGCGTGTTTGTAAACGCGGATAGCATGGCCATGGGAGGGACAGTGAGGCATGAGGCTGAGTGGGTGATGCCTAGTAGTAGCTCCATTAGATAAGTTAGGAAGGAAGAATTTCTGGCAAGGTAGAGACAGAGATTAATTAACTTTCTTTGTTTTATCATCTTTTCACTGTTTCAAAGACTGTATTCATCACAACATTGTCATCAAAATGTTGTCTTTAGGCG